CACATCCACCACCTAGATTTAGCCCGTAATATCAGAAAGCAAGAACAAATATCTTTGGTGTTCAACTAACATTTTTTCTTTCTTTCCTAATCTTGTAGGGACTAGAAGGAGTAGTGTTTGTTTTTTTCTTCCTCTATGGAAAGGACTTCCCCTACATCATAATCTCTTTCCTGGAGGTCATTAAACTTCCTGGCTGAGGCTTAATGGTGGAAGGGCATCCTCACGTTATGGAAAAAAATCCTGTGATTTGAACTGGCCTGGTATGGTTGGGAGTCCAAGATGACTAGAGATTGAGATCACAGAAAATAAAAATTCTCTGGTTTGATAACCTCGAAAATATGATATCCATTTTATATGACACAATGTTCTGGATTCATCTAGAAGAAATTCTGTTCCTACAATTAATCATCCTAAAAATAATAGATAGTATCTATTGCCTGATTATGATCTACTAGGCATTTTTCTAAGATATATATTTAGTCCACATACAATCCTATGATGTAGGTATTATTATTACTCCCATTTAACACACAAGGAACTAAAGCCTGGATAAGGGATAAGGTATCTTCCAAATGGACATGGTTAAAGAAGAATTACTGTTTGAACCTGATGCTGTATAATTGTTCATCTCAGGCTCTTTCAGGCCATTCCCCTCCCCTGGCCTCTTTCTTCATCCTGCTCTTCATCCTGCTGCCCGAGTTTTCTCTCCCTTTAAACATTCTGAATTCTTTGTGCCAACCAAACAATTCACCATCCCATCTCATTTCTCCTCCCTTCTACATCTTGATTCATTCTGGCCCCTTTCCCTTGGATGCCCTCTCCCCACCATTTACCAAGGTCCAGGGCTCTGCCTAACTACCCCGCCACCCCAAGCCTTCCCTGATTCCCTTGGCCAGAAGGAAACTGTCTTCTGGATTCCTCCCATTTTTGTGTTTACAGTGTTTCCACTTCGACACAGGATTAAACACATGTTATTTCAAAAGTCATTTTAGGATTCAGGTTTGGATCTCCATCATATCTGCTCCTCCCTAGTAGGCAGCACAGACACTGGCTAAATGGGTGGAAGCCATTTTTTTGCACACAGTGGACCATCCCTAAAGCAGAGGTCAGCCAAAGGATTGTGTTGGATCCAGAGCTGGGATTAACATGATTAAACAAGATTAAACAAGATTCTGGAAATGACCTCTTTCATATCAGCCTGTGACTCATCTGTGGAAATTTAGTATAAGAGTCAGTAAAAAAAATGCAAGGACCTTGTGTCTACATGGCCTTCTGTTTCAAGGGCTGACCTTCCTGCTTCTTGAAGACAAACCTCCACCTATTTCCCTGCCCAGCAATTACTTATTCTAAGTTCCAATGAATCCCTCGCCTGCCACCAGTTTGTTACATCTAAAGAAAGTGCCAAGTACCTTTTTTTCCATACTAGCTTATCTCTTAGAAAAATCGTCCCATATTTGGAGCTCTTTGAATATCTGTACAAGGTTAGGTGGTGCAAGGAACTCCAGGAGGTAATATGTCCTTGGTTGGCGTACCTGAGGAGGGAAGTTGATCTGGTGACTGGAAGCCATTTGCTCCTTGGGAAGTATGAAGAATGACCACTGCTCAAGGCCAGCTGGTAGTGACTTGGGTGAAAATTGCACACTCTGCCTTGGGTGGCCCCAGACTTTGTCTTTGAATATGAACACACTCTTTCTCCCACTACTTGCTTTTCCTTGGGTTAGGGTCATCTTTCATCATGATCTGCTTTCCCACATGCTCTAGTATCATTCTCAGATAGTTCCATGTACATTCAAATCAATGTGTTCTGGTCTCTCCCAGGGAGGGCATGCCTCTCATGGGGAAAAGAAACACAGGAGCATCAGCGGGGCCCTGCCATAATTCTCTTTGGTTTCTCTGGAATCATGGAGTCTGGATTATGAAGTCACATGGATGGGGTGCACTCTTTGCTTGCTAGGGGGAAGGGAGGTATCTTTTGTGCAACTCATGATTCTTTCAGGTCAGAAACCAGTTTAAATGGCCCTTTAAGCATTCTTAGAGATGCTCATCTCCTTTGGGCTCTGGAACACAGTGACTAAGTGCAGTTCACTGGACCAGAGTTAGACCTTGGGGTAATGTTTTGCCTCCAACAGAGGTTAGCTTTGTGTCCTGAAGCAAGTAATTTCTCATTTGGAATTTAGATCCCCTCACCTAAGCAAGGAGTAAGTTGAATCATAAGCCCTCAAAAGGCCATTTTCTGCTTTGGAGTGTGTGTGTGTGTGTGTGTGTGTGTGTGTGTGTCTTCTTGAGCCCAAGGGAAAATAATGGTTAAATTGAATCAATACATTTCAAAGCCATCATTTTCCCCTATAAATGAAACTCTTTTTTAAAGTTTTCCAATCACCTCCCATATGTTACATTCTCCCTCCTAAGTCTGGAATTGGTGTTTATGCCTGAGAGTTTAAAGCCATTTTTTGATTTCTTTAGTTTGAGAATCAACTTATTTGGATATTGGATGCTGAAAGAAAAACCTCTAATAGCTTCATCCCAAAGTCATCTTTTCTCTTATTCTGGCCAAAGAAATGGACCTGGATTGCCAAATGAGATAAAATTTGCCATATGTATAAATATTTATATAGCCAAGCTCATTAAAAGTATCTTAAACTTATTATCAATTCATCTTGAGAAGAAGAGAGGAAACATAAGTGCAATTAATTTATTATTTATTACTTTAACACCAGTTAGGTGAATGGACAGTCTCCATGCAGACAGTAGTATTCATTACACAAACAAGACAATTTTAAAACAAAGGGTAATAGAGGCACTGAGTAGTTTTGCATGCATGAATCCACACCTGGGCTGTAAAGCTTGAGGGATGTAACCAACGGGAGGCCGGATGCTGGCATGAGCTATTCTAAATATGCCTTCAACACGTTGCTTCTCTGTTCCAGGGTTGAACTGTTTAGGTTTATATCTAGACATACTGTTTATATCTAAATATACTAACATATATAGGAGATTAGTGGGGAAAACACTTGAACACTGTGGTTAAGATTCCATATGTTAATTATTTAATTAGATAACAACATAACACTTATTCACTGGAAAAATCACAAATACGCACTGATATTTACAAAAGCTGTTTCAGTTAAATTTAAATGAAAGGAGGATGGTACATTTTAGGATAAAAAGGAAAAAGGGGCTGAATTCTTTTGTCAGACACAACTGTAGCACAGTCTACTCTTAAAGAATCTTTTAATTAGGAGAAGAGTCAAGATGGGGGAAATAAATAAAAGCACAGTTGTATGTATAAAAATGCAGATAACCCCAAATACTTGGTTGCTTGGCTTTAAAATGCATTGTGTAATTTTTGTAAACTTAGAACCTGCAAACCATTTGGCTTACGCTAATATTAAAGTCAGTGCGCATCTCCTGAGGTACAAATGATTGGGTTGAAGGTGAGTGTGCTGGGTTGTGATGGAAGGAAATGTTGGTTGATGCTTCACTGTTGGGTAAACAAACCAACAATTAATTTTAAAAAAACACGCAAGCAAACAACCCAATAACCCTTTCTCTAGAGAAAAGTAGGAGTTATCCCAATGGGGACGGGTCAATCCCAAACCAGGTACCATTTGTAGTCTCTGCTTTAAAATGAACCAGGAAGGATCAAGAACATAGATATATAATCACCACAGATGTATAATAATACAAACATTGTGCAGCCCTGGGCTGTGCTGCTTCATGACATGCAGGGAAGATCGTCAAAACTTTTGAAGACGATGGTGGCAGCAGGGGCGGGTGGTCTGAAATTCTGAGGTTAAATCTTCCTCATTATAACCCAGGACAGGGGTTCCTTTTTCTGCCCCAGGGGACAGGCTGCACTGTGAAGGATTCAGGCAGGGGTCTCTGGTCCAAAGACAAGGAACGAAAAAGTGGGAGTGTTTCTTCACATTTAGTCACAGTGGATGGGGTTTCTTTTATCCAAACTGTTCAATAGCACGTATACATTCTCACCACTGGTAGGGTTAAAAAGCACTTTCACAAACTATGGCCTCCATGGGCTCTTCCAATAGTCCTGGAAGGTAGATAGCACAGCTGTTTTCATCACCCTGATTTCAATGAAGCAGACAGAGTAAGCATGCAGGTCACATGGATCTTAGAATTCAGGCTTGAACCCAGGCCTCTCCTTTCCAAGTAGAGCTCATTTTGTTTGTTCTCAAAAAAGAGGATTTGTTGTAGAAAGTGATCCAGACCTTAGATCGCTAAGTCACTTAGACCTCAGCCACATAGATTACGTTTATTACCAGTGGCAAGCTCCACCCCTTCCTCCATCCCCAGCCTCCCTGACATTACAGCCCCAAAATCCTTTATGCTCAGGTGTCAGGGACCGGATGTATTCCTCATTTCAGGACCACATGTCTTCACCCAAAAAAATGAGTTCTCAAAGCATCAGTGGAAAAGAGATATCTTGGACCTTTCCTTTGAAATTACAACATTGTACATAACCAATGCCCTGGTTATGAGAAAATATTTTTTCTCGTAGCCAGAATCCTATAAACTATCCTTCGGAGGTGGGGGGAGCCGAGTGGGAAAGTTCAATGTGATGGCATGAGCCCTCTTCCCATGAGGCAGTAAACCCCACACTCTGATGTTTATGTTTCCGCCTTATGTTTCTGTCACACCTAAGTGGCTTATTCTCTCACCTTTTGACCTTCCTGCATTGATAAGATACAGAGTGAGGGCAGGGAGATGGAGAGTGAGTGCAGATAACCATCAGAGGCCCTTGACTGGCCATCGCTTGGTGACTCCAATAGCTACTGCCATTTTTCTTGTTATTTAATTTTCTCCCACAGTAGGAAATGGGTAAATGTCAGCTCCTGTTGACTCAGCCAATCTCACTGGTGTGGCCAGCACACAGGAAGCTAGGCCAAAGTCAGTTTCTGTTACCTGTCTTGAGTCCCACCATCTTTCGGGACTGAGAAGCATCCAGTTCCTTGAGGGCAGTGAGGAGGGGAACACGGCTGTCCTTCCTTTAGGCAGCCAACTGTGAACTTGGTTACGGGTGGATGATGCTCAGAGTGGTCGCTTTTGGGTTTTGGGCTGAGGAACACCAGCAGGTCACTTCAGCCTGATACAGTCCACCTCTTCCGTGGCCGGCATGCCGCTGGTCTTGAGGTCCAGGTCGGCGCTCGACTTGCTCCCGTGGTGGGAGGGACGCCAGTGGAGCAGCATCATCCTCTTGAAGTATTTCATGGTGTTGTTCTTGACCGTTACAAAGCACACGGTGTTGATCATGCTGTTGCTCATGGCGATGCACTCGACCACGTAGAAGGCTGTGAGGTAGTGCTTCTCCTTGACGAACACGGCGGGGAAGAAGTCGCGCACGATGGTGAAGCCGTAGAAAGGCGCCCAGCACAGCACGTAGGCCGTGAGGATGCACATGAGCACCAGCACCGTCTTTCTGCGGCAGCGCAGCCGCTTCCGGATCTGCTCTGTCTGGAAGCCTGGCACGGCCTTGAACCAGAGCTCGCGGGAGACCCTGGCATAGCACAGGGTCATGGTCACCACGGGGCCCACGAACTCCACGCCGAAGATGAACAGGAAGTAGGACTTGTAGTAGAGCTGCTGGTCCACCGGCCAGACCTGGCCGCAGAAGATCTTCTCCTGGCTCTTGACGATAAACAGGACCGTCTCCGTTGTGAAGTAGGCCGACGGGATGGCGATGAGGATGGACACCAACCAGACCAAAGCGATCAGGAAGGAGGCCGTTTGATAATTCATCCGTGGCTTCAAGGGGTGAACGATGGCGAGATACCTGGTGTGGGGAGGCAAGCTGTCAGTAATAATGATGTGTGCTTGGAAACATTCGTCTGGAACTAAGCGCAAACACACCGCAAAAGCAGACAGAATGGCACAACGAGTCCCTGTGTAATTATCCGGCTTTGACAAGCTTCGTCCTATTTTAGCAACATCATTTGGCATTTGGAGTAGCGCAGCGGTTTACTGGAAACAGCACAGGCTTTGGTCAAACAGGTGGACTAGATCCCAGCTTTCCTCCTGACTGGCTTTGGGGTCTGGAGTGAATCACTCAGCCTTTCTGAGATTTGTTTCTTCAGACGCAACATGGGATAAAGTGACACCTACCTTGTGGGGCTGTTGTGAATATTAAACATGAGTATGTTTGTAAAATGCTTCGGATGTAGCAGATAGGCAGCACTATTATTGTTCGTCCTATTGATACCACGTTGGCTTTGTCTTGGCATTCTGCCCAAGAACCTAATACTTTCAAAACTCTTTATTCCAAATAATCATGGGTTAGAGGTGAAAGGAGGGCTCTGAAGCTCTGAGAGAGGTGGGGACCTTCTCAGGGCAGTGAATTAGGGCTGTCTCTTTCCTCCCTTCAGGTGTCATCCTGTATTACAGAGAAGGAAGGAGAGTTCAGGTGGGCTTGGCATGGAATCTAAGGAATCTGTCTAATGAGAGAAGTAAATGATCTGACCAAACTCAGTGCAGGGACCAGAGTCCAGGCTCCTGATACAAAACTTTTACACCCACCTCCCTGGGCTGTCTCAAACTCAGATGAGGTGTGTGACATTGCCTTGACATCATAAAGCAGCACACAGCATGAGGCTTTATCCTGCTCTTTCCAGTGAGCAACACTGCCTGGGAAAGAGGTTGGCACCCTTTGTGGGGTGGGCATGGGAAGGCAGTCAAAATAGGCTGTGTTACTGAGCAAGCCTTCACTGTAGGCAGCTGATGCTTATTCCTGCTGAGCCCCTGGAGCAGACGCAGTTCACCCAGGAGTGAGAGGGAACTAGGATATTTGTATGCCAACAATTTTAAGTCTTTGGTGAGGGAGACAGAGGAGGCCTTCAGACAAAGAAATGCAGGTGTTGGCTAGTGGGAGTGGACAGGTGTGCACCGAAGTCACAATAGCAAAGGGATAAGACAGGGGCATCAATTGCATCTGCTACAACCTGGTAAATGCACAACAGGTTGCTGGTCCTGCTGCGTGCCCAAACAGTGTATATGGAAACAAGTAAGGGAAGGCACAGGCCTTGACCTCAGAGACCTTTTCTTCCACACAAAAACTAGAATAACCAAATGACAGGTTAAGAGCCAACTTGAAGAAAGACATGGTCATTATGTTAGTGATGTAGTCTGGGAATGCTTCATGAAGATATTGAGATTCTGACCACCTCCTATTCACCCTGTTGATGAAGGCAGGATTCTCCTGACCTAAATAGGAGATGAGTGACCACACAACACCTGATGCCAGGCAGATGAGGTCAATAGCAGTCAACTAGTCTCATATACTCCCAGCCAAGGAAGAGGGACACTGCCCACTATGCAGGGCCACAGGGGAGTTGTACTCAGGAATAAAACGAACCAGTGGGGGCTGTGGGCAGCAGGCGCTATAGTGACAAGAGGTCTGAAGTGACCCTTGACTCCCATGGGAGGATGTGATTGGCTTGTTTGAATAATTCTGCCAGCTGGCAGGGAGGGGAAACCCATCAGGTTGAGAACTGGGGGTGCAGCTGGTCCAGCTGAGACAGGAATAACAGGTCAGGAGCCTTTCCTGCTGGATGAAGGGGTATATGTGGCAAGAACAGGGGACTTCATGGTTAGGGACCTTGGGGGCCCTATGGGGCTTGAAGGTGTAAAGTAGCCCAGGGAATTTTAGGCTTTATAATACAAGAGCCTAATAAGTAGCACTCAGGTTCTAAATCAAGTAAAAAATAAGGCAAATGATAAGAAGCATGAATGGTCAAACTCTCACTTTTGTTAGAATTAGATAGTGAGGCTTTCATCTGTGAGCATAGGGACCGCTTCATACTCAATTAGATAAACCTACAAACCCTGACATAGCAGGGGTGGGAGAGACACAGGCCTCCTTGTGCACTTCACTTTACTCTTTGGTAAGACATGTCTGTCCTATGATATAGAAATATAAGAAGGGATATCTATGAGTATTTCTGGATGCCACAGTCAGAAGAAGAGTGAGGTTCATGTGTGGATCTCAGGAAATGCACATCCAAGCACAGGGAGGGTAACAGAGACCCTGTGGATGTCCCTTTTCCCAACAGACAAGTCATGGAAAATAATCAGTTTTAACAAAGTGCTATAGCTTCCAACATGTTTTATGTATGTATGTTTACCCTCTCTGAACCGGACAATAATAACTCTGCTGAGTTATCCATTTCACAGATGAAGAAACTAAGTCCCAGGAGCATAAGGGATTTATCCAAGTGCACAGCTTGGAATCCAGATGTTCTCAGTAACTCCTAGGCCAGCGTTCTTTCCTTTCGGACTTATTTGATAGCAACTCTGCATTTTGAAACATCTTTTAAAGTGAGGAAGATGTTATTGGATGATAAAATATTAGAATATAAGAGTTGATGATAGAATAAGTTGGAATGTAGAAATTCTCTCTGGCATTGGTTATTGAGATATTTTTCATGCTGGGACTATATTGGTGTGGAGGAGGGGAGGGGGGGGAGAGAGAGAGAGAGAGAAAGAGAGAGAGAATCCTGAATTAGTTCTGGTTCCAAAGTCCTCTTGGCTACCTGCACAGCATTTCCAGGATAGCCCTCACCTTTGCACCTCAGGCTCTGCTTCCCATGCTCCAGTGGACAGCTATATGCAAAAGAACGAAACCAGACTAATTTCTTACACCATACACACACAAAAATTTAAAATGGATTAAAGACCTAAATGTGACACCTGAAACCATAAAAGTCCTAGAAGAAAGCACAGGCAGTAATTTCTCCGAAATCGGCCACAGCAACATTCTTCTAGATATGTCTCCTGAGGCAAGGGAAACAAAAGCAAAAATAAACTCTTGGGACTATGTCAAAATAAAAAGCTTCTGCACAGCAAAGGAAACAACAAAACTAAAAGGCAGCCTCTGGAATGGAAGAAGATATCTTCAAATGACATATTTAATACAGGGTTAGTATCCAAATCATATAAAGCACTTGTTAAACTCAACACCCAAAAACCAAATAATCCAATTAAAAAAAATGGACAGATGATATGAACAGACATTTCTCCAAAGAAGACACCCAGATGGCCAACAGACACATGAAAAGATGCTCAACCTCGCTCATCAGGGAAATGCAAATCAAAACTACAATGAGATACCACATCACACCTGTCAGAATGACTAAAATCAAAAACACAAAAAATGACAGGTGTTGGTGAGGATGTGGAGGAACCTTTATGCGCTGTTGGTAAAAATGCAAACTGGTGCAGCCACTGTGAAAAATAGCATGGAGGCTCCTTGAAAAGTCAATAGGGATGCCTGGGTGGCTCAGTCGCTTAAGCATCTGCCTTTGGCTCAGGTCGTGATCCAGGGTCCTGGGATGGAACCCCCAGTTGGGATCCCTGCTCAGCAGGGAGTTGCTTCTCCCTCTGTGCTCCTCCCCCTGCTTGCTGTCTCTCTCTTGCTCTCTCTCTCTCTCAAATAAATAAAATCTTTTTTTTTTTTAAGAAAAGTTAAAAATAGAACTACCCTATGATCCAGCAATCCCACTACTGGGTATTTACCCAAAGAATACAAAAACACTAATTCAAAGGGTGAACACTAATTCAAAGCACCCTTGTGTTTATTGCAGCATTATTTATAATAACCATATGAGGGAAACAGCCCAAGTATTCCCTGATTGATGAATGGATACAGCAGATGTGGTATGTATATATAATATAAATATGTATTAGCATACATATATATACACACATATATATTAGTGTATACTGTGTGTGTGCGTACACACACTCATAATGACTATTATTCAGTCATAAAGAATGAAATCTTGCCATTTGCAATGACGTGGATGGAGCTGGAGAGTATAATGCTAAGGGAAAGAAGTCAGAGAAAGACAAATACCATAAGATTTCACTCATATGTGGAACTGAAGAAACAAACAAATGAGCAGAGGAGGAAAAAAGAAAGAGAGAATCAAACCAAGAAACAGACTCTTAACAATGTAGAACAAACTGGTGGTTACCCAAGGAGAGAGGGTGAGGGGATGGGAGAAACAGATGATGGGGATGAAGGAGTGTACTTGTGATGAGCCCCAGGTGTCGTATGGAATTATTGAATCACTATACTGTACACCTGAAAATAATATTATACTGTATGTTAATTAAATGAAATTCAAATAAAAACTTAACTTAAAAAAAAAAGAAAGAATGATGGTAATCGTTCCAGCCTGGGTGATGGGTGGAATGGTGTATCTGGAACCACTCGTTATGTTTAACTGGATGGTTGCTTCCTAAGAAACTCCTATGTTGCCAAAACCCCCTAACATTATAAAGATAAACGTTTCAATGGGAGAAAGAGGATGAGAACAGTGATAACTCTCACCTGAGTGAGCATCAGAATCACTCAGGGAATTGGATAAAAATGCGGATTCCTGGGGCCTAGCACAAGGGATTTTCGTTCCTTTGGGCTGTGTGGGGCCTAGGGATCTGCCTTTTATCACTTGCTCTGGGGAATTTGGTATAGTTGGTTGACAGTTACATTTTATAAACACTGGTTTTAGGGCTGCAGAGCCTCAGAGCAGTAATAACAAAATTGTTTTTCCTGCAGGAATTATGTTACAAAAAGAAGATGGCTCCACTACCTCTATGTGTATTTCTTTATGGAAAATAATCAACTGGTTGATTAAAAAGAATGACAAATCTAAATAGCACCGAGAACAAGGAAAAAAACCGAAGAGTTGAAAGGAAACCAAAAAGAAAAAAGATGTTCGAAAAAACACATCATCAAAATGAGTTTTGACACTCCATGGACAAGAGGATGTTTTACACATCGCCCCCCTGGAACATAGCCAGTGGTGGTCTGACACTGACCTACAGCTATTTACATAATTAAAACATGTGTAAGATTTGTCATAAGCTGCTACTAGAAATTTTATAAATTTTATAAATATATAATAGAGCAAGGGCTTGCAGAACATCTCATGCAAATGTATGCAAATGAGCACGTGGATGTATGCAAGAAAACAAAAGGAGGGATGTCCTTCCCTCTTTTCTACAAATAGCTGTTACCTTATTTTAAAATCAGCTCTATAACAAAGCCACCAGAAAAAAAGAGTACAATCCTCTAGGATCCCGTTTTTGTGAAGTTTAAGAACAAGCAAAACTAAACTATGCTGAGTGAAAGCAGATGGGTCGGGTGGGAGGACTGACTGGTCAGGGGGACAAGGGAGTTCTCTAGGTGATGGAAATGTTCTAGGGCTTGATTTGGGAATGGTTGCAGGAAAAACTTGGCACGTGTTATCCCGACTGGAAGGGCCCGTGGTGAAGTCTCCCATGGCTTCTAAGTAGTAAGTTGCCTACACTTGCTGCTTTTGCTTTTGTACTTGAGGCTACTCACAGTCATGTGGCATGCCTATCTGTGGCAGATGTGGCATCTGCAGGCAGGCACGGCCCAGAGTTGGGGGTGCTCAGGAGCCTCAGTCTTGACCATGTTTGGGGGGGGGACCATGAACCACAAGCAGAGATCTGTGTCTCCTCTTGCCCCAGACAGGTGAGCAGGCATTCAGATCTGCAGCAGCACCCACCTGTCAGAGCTGAAGTGAGGGAAGGGGCAGCGTGGCCCAGTGCCCATCTTTACCCCGCCCCGCTCCCACCAACATCCTCACCTGTCGATAGCGATGGCCAGCAGGGCATTGGTGGAGACGTAGAGGGAGACGGTGCGCAGGTAGTTGACGGAGGCACAGAGCACATGGCCGTGCTCCCAGGAGAGCTGGCGCACCACGTAGTAGTCCATCTCGAAGGGGCAGCAGATGATGGCCACCAGGAAGTCAGAGATGGCCAGGTTAGCGATGAGCAGGTTGGTGAGGTTGCGCAGCTTCTTGTAGCGGGCGAGGGCAGCGATGAAGACAAAGTTGCCAATGCCGCAGACCAGCATGATGCCTGCCAGTGCCACACCGATGACGATCTTGGCAGCGAAGAAGGTCCGGGTCTTGGTCATGTCCTCCTCCTCGTCCAGAGGGAGGTCGTAATCACCATAGCTGAAGTTGAAGGGGAGGGAGGAGGTGTGATCTTGAGCTGGATTGATGTTGGGTGCAAAACTGGTGTTTCCATCCTGGGCTGCCATGGTGAAGACTGCAGGTGGAGAGGTGTGTGGATCGGAGCACTCTGAGCCGGGGGTTCCAGACCTCCTGCGGTCACGACTCACTGAGCCTAGCACCCTGCCCACATCCCTGAGGAGAGTCAACACGCCATCCTGGGGCTCTGGAAGGAGACACAACCAGTGGGCAGCATGCAGGAGAACACCTGGTAGTATTCTCCAGGTGTACAGGCCAACCAGACCCAGTGACTACCCTTGGATTGAACTACCTGGGGTACAGGCGGAGGAGACATGAGATTTGGAAACTGGGAAATCTTTCACTGGCTGTCAGAAGGTACTGGGCATAGGAAGAATTGGACTCTCCAAAGATATCCAAGAGGAACCTGCAACTTTGCCCTTTACCCAGAGGCCAGGACCAGTGTGACTGCCAGTCACGCTCCCTTTTCCCACCATCAATTCCCACAGGGTCTTCTAAAAGTTTTATAAGCCTGCTCCCTGCAGCCGGCCCAGGCTTCCACGGGAGTCACAAAGTTGAGCCATCTGTTGGTCAAGGACAATGACACCCAAGGACTGAGACATGGCAGGGTCGGTCTTTCCTCCAAAGCACTGCTCCCTATGTCTTGGCCAAACCTTGGACGTGCAAATCACCAAATCCATTTTCACATGAACTGGCTGAGTCATCTTGGGCCAATGATTTATACTGTCTGAGTCCCGATCTTCCTGTAAAGCAAATTCCTGCTGTCTAGCCTGGCCCGTAGAGGGGGCTGGATGGAGTGGGTAGGATGAATGAATGAGGCTCCACCCCAGGATTCTGCAGGTGGAGGGGACTGTGGGGGGGTGGGGAGGGGAGGGAATTCTCTTGCTGCTCCTCTGTGCTTTGGGAACCAGATCTAAAAAGAAATGCTTGGTCTGCTTCTCCTCCCTGTTCCCACTCTTCTGATCAGCGCTCTGTCCCCTTCACCAGACTCCTACCTGGTTCCCCACCAGACCCCACCCTGTCGGGGAGGCACTACAACCTGTCTGAAAGTGGTGGTTGCTCCACTTTAAGGGAAAGCACCCCCAAGGAGGGAGGGAGGGGGGGGGGAGAGAAGGTGGGTCGGTGAGGACCCAGGAGGGCCTGAGGGCTGGACTGTCCCTCTTGGCGGAGTCCTTTATGCTCTCAATACCTCCAGATGCCCGTGACAAGGGGCAATAACGTCTCCGAAGTACTGAGCCCTCAGGAGGCGGAGCACCATTGGGTTCGGGGCGTCGGAGGGCCTCAGAACCGCCCCCCTCATGCCCAAGCCTGCAGAATGAGGACCCCTGCCATCCAGCTGTGACCCGCCTCTCCCTCTCCCCGCTTAACACAACTGAAAAGGACCCCAAGTGCGGGATGCTGGCTGCAAGGCTGGGACCAAACTGGACAGTGGGTTTGGCCCAGGCCTGTCAGAGCAGGGCAAGAGCGAGGGACAGGAATCGTCGCAGAAGGGACAGCAGTAGGGGGGCCGGGCCACTGCAACCTGCGGCGCACCCGAGGTAAGGACCCCCCGACGACGGGGTCCCAGCGGCGTCCACAGCGGGACCGTGCTCCGTCCGGGTCCACGGAGCCCGGATCCCGCAGCCAGCGCCCGGCGGGAGGCAGGGAAGCGGGAGTCGCGCCCCCTCGACCTCCGCGCTCCGAGGCTCTCCAGCGCCCAGACCCGGAGGAGAGCGCGTGAGCCGGGGGGCGCCGGCCCGGCCCCACGTTTCGCGGGACGCGCTCCCCGGCCCCGACCACCCGGCTCCAGGAGCCTCTCCCGTCCCCGGGCCTCCCGTCCTCACCCCCGCGCGGCCGCGCGGTCCCGGAGGCGCCGCCCAGCAAGGGCGGGAATCGAGTCCGAGAGCCAAGCTCCCCAAGCCACGCGCGCGGGGCCTCCGGACGCCAGGAGCGCTGGGGGTAGGCGCAGGACGCGGCGCGCGGGAGTCCTCCGCAGCCGCTTCCCTTCCAGGGTACCTTTCAACGCGACGCCCCCGCCCAGGCCCTGCCCTGCAGCGTGGGGCTCGCCCGCCGGCCCCGCGCCCCCGCGCCCCCGCGCCCCCGCGCCCCCGCGCCCCCGCGCCCGGTCCTGGCGGGCCGGTGCTGGGCGCGGACTCGCCCGCGCGAACTCCTGCACTTGGAGCCAGCCCCGCGTCCCCCGAAAGCTGCGGGCGGCAGCGCCACCGGAATCCCACCCCCGCCCGAGAAAGAAGTGGGCGTCGGCGCCTCCATCCCGGGCGACGCCCCCCTCCGCACCCCGCGAGACCCCGGACTGAGCCGAGCTCCGCACCCACCTGCCGGGCCGCCTCCTCCCGGCGCGCTCAGCTGCCCTGGCCGCTCGGTCCCGTCCTGGGGGACCCCGACTGGCGCGTGCCGTGGCGCTGCGGACGGGGTGTCCTTTCTTCCTCGCTCCAGAGCGCTTCCCCAGCGCGTCGCGGTCTCCGTCTTCCCGCTGGAGTTGGCGCTCCGCCCCCGCAGCTCCGCCGGCGCCTCGGACCCGGCCCGCTGCGCCCCGCCCCGGCCCGCGCTCGGCTCCGCCCCGGGGTCCCCAGCCGGCCCCCGCCCCGCCCCTGCCCCCGCCCCCGCCCCGCGCGGTGGCACGGGGTGGGCGCTCGGCTCCTGCGCCGCGTGTGCCCGGGCGCGGAGTTCTGGCCGCGGTGGCGCGTAGCCCCAGGCCTCCGGGTTGGCGGCGCGCAGCGGCTTCTGCGTCCTCGCACCCGAGCGTGCATGCGAGGCTAGGTGCTGGGGCTAGGTGCTGCGGCTGCCAAGGAGCCGGCAGGGCCCTCCGTGCTCCGCTGGGGCGGGTCGCGGGGGTCTTTGGTAGGGGCCCCGGGCTGGCGTCCCCTCCCGCACGAGGCTACTCTTTCGGGAGCAGACTGGGGTACATTCCGTTGTGCCCGATGGCTGGTGCTGGGGAGACATAGGGGGTGCAGAGGGGGCCCTTTAGGGTGGGTGGTGGTGGTGGAGGAGGAGGAGGCCCCCGAGGAGGAAGCCGGGGATCCCAGATGGACTGGCCTGCTGAAATCTCCTACCCGGAAGTCCTCACCAAAACCCTTCGATAGCCACCACTGCCAGATTCCTTGGCCTTTCAAAGACCATTCTAGCTGGGCCTCTGCCTGCCTGCCTGGAGCCCTGTTTCTGGAGCACTCCACCTTGCTTGCACCAGGCTCTGATTTTAGGCAATTTCTATTACCTCTCTGGTCCTTAGTTTTCTTACGCAGATTGGGCAGATTCCTTATATAGATTGGGAAGGAAGAAATAAAGTGATCTGTGTTGCAGATGGCATGATGTCTTTAGAAAATCAGGAATTGACAAAAAAACTTCCTGGGACTAATAAATAACGATAGCAAAGTTTCAGGATACAAGGTCAATATATAGAGTCAAATGCTTTGGGGCGTCTGGGTGGCGCAGGTGGTTAAACATTGGACTCTTGATTTTCCCTCCGGTCATGATTTCAGGGTTGTGAGATCCGGCCCTCACCCTCAGGGGGTTAGGCAAGAAGCCTGCTTAAGATTCTCTCCCTCTCCCTCTGCCACCCCACCCCAATCTCCCCCTCTCTCTCTGAAAAGAAAAAGAAAAATAACTTAAAAAGTCAAATGCTTTCCTAGATACCAGGAAGGAACAAGTGGAACTTGAAATTAAGAATACAATACTATTTACATCAGTAACCCCCAAAATAAAATACTTAGGTATAAATCTAACAAAATATGTACAAGATCTATATGAGGAAAACTACAGAACCTTAATGACAGAAATCAAAGAAGAACTGAATAAATGGAGAGATACTTCATGTTCTCGAACAGGAAGACTCAATATTGTCAAGATGCCAGTTTTCCTCCACTTGATCCATGGAGTCGATAAAACCCTGATCACAGTGCAGCGAGTTATTTTGTAGATGTCAACAAACAGATTCCAAAGTTTATTCAAAGATTCAGAATAGCTACCACAATATTGAAGGAGAAATCAAAGTTGAAGGACTGACATTACCTGGTATCAAGGTTTACTAGAAAGCTACAGTAATGAAGGCAGGGTGGTGGGGGTGAAAGAATAGACAAATCAATGGAAGGGAACAGAGAGCCCTGTGGAAATAGATCCACATAAATATAGTCTTTTGATTTCTGACAAAGGAGAAAAGATAGTGCAATGGAGAAAAGACCATCTTTTCAACAAATGGTGCTGGAATAATTAGGCATCACATGTAAAAAAATCAGTCTAGACACAGACTTCATAGCTGTCACAAAAATTAACCCAAAGGGGATTACAGCCTCAACTTTAAAATGCAAAACTATAAAACACCTAGAAGATAACATAGGAGATGACCTTGGATTTGGCGATGGCTTTTTAGATACAACAACAAAGGCAGGATTCATAAAAGAAAGAATTAAGAAGCAGGACTTCATTAAGATTAAAAATGTCCACTCTGCAAGAGATACTGTCAAGAGAAATTAAAAGGCAAAACCACAGACTGGGAGAAAGTATTTGCAGAAGACGCATCTGATAAAGGACTTTTACCCAAAATACACAAAGAACTCTTAAAGCTCATCAATAAGAAAACAAACCAATTAAAAATTTGGCCAGGGGTGCCTGGGTGGCTCAGTCCATTAAGCGGTTAAGCATTTGCCTTTGGCTCAGGTCATGATCCCAGGATCCCATGATGGAGCCCCCTCATTGTGTTGGAAGCAGGGCTTCCTGCTCAGTGATGGGCCTGCTTCTCCCTCTTCCTCTGCCTGCTGCTCCCCTTGCTTGTGCAGGCTCTCTCTCTGTCAAATAAATAAATAAAACATCTTAAAATTTTTTTTTGGCTAAAGACCTTCACTGACATTTCACAACAAGATATACAGATGGCAAATAAGCATATGAAAAGATGTTCCATATCACATGTCATGTGGGAAATGCAAATTAAAACATCAATGAGGGCAGCCCGGGTGGCTTAGCGGTTTAGTGCTGCCTTCAGCCCAGGGTGTGATCCTGGAGACTTGGAATTGAGTCCCATGTCAGGCTACCTGCATAGAGCCTGCTTCTCCCTCTGCCTGTGTCTCTAACCCTCCCCCCCCTCCCCCCGTGTCTCTCGGGAATAAATAAAATCTTAAAAAAAAATCAATGAGATACCACTATATACTTTTTAGAATGACCAATGTTCAGAACATTGACAACGCCAAATGCCGGTGAGGTTGTGGAGCATCAGGAACTCTTATTCATTTGTGGTAGGAATGCAAAATGGAATAGCCACTTTGGAGGTTTGGTGGGTTTTTACAAAACTAAACATATTCTTACCATTAGATATAGCAATCACATTGCTTGGTGTTTACCCAAAGCAGTTTAAAATTTGCCTACTCAAAAATCTGCACATGGGCATTTATGCAGTTTTATTCATAATCACCAAAATTTGGAAGCCATCAAGATGTCCTTTAGTAGTTGAATGGGTTAATAAACTGGAGTACATCCAGATGATAGAATATTATTCGGTACTAAAAAGAAATGAGCTATCTATCAAGTTATGAAAAGTCACAGAAGAATCTTGAATGCGTGATACTAAGTGAAAGAAGCCAATCTGAAAGCCTATCTGCTGTATGATTCCAACTATATGACATCCTGGAAAAGGCAAAACTATGATGACAGTAAAGAGATCAGTGGTTGCCTGAGATTAGGTGAGAAGAAGGGATAAACAGTTGGCGCACGCAGGATTTTCAGGGCAGTGAAACTACTCTATATGATGCTATGATGGTAGACACATGTCAATATGTTTGTTCAAACCTGTAGAATGTACAACAGCAGGAGTGAACCCTAATGTGAATTATGGACTTTGGGTGACAATAATGTGTCAGTGTAGGTTCATCGATTACAATAAATGTACCACTCTGGTGTGGGATGTTGGTAATGGGAGAGGCTATGTATGTGTGGGAGCAAGGAGTATATGAGAAATCTCTGTACCTTCAGCTAAATTTTGCTGTGAACCTAAAGCTGCTCTAAAGAATAAAGCCTATTTTTTAAAAAATGGTATGGATTTTCTAGAGCTTGATGTGTTGATGCATATAAAAAGTCAGAAATTTTACATCCTTTGATGTAGAAATTATATTTTAATGGGCTTTTCCTTTGGAAATAATGAATGGAGCAGTTAAAGGTTTCACTACAAAGATGTTGATAACAGCATTATTTAGTATAACGAGGAACTGGAAATAATCTGAACTTCCCACACTTGATTAAAAATGTGATTAAAGATGTCTTTTATAAGATACCATGAAATCATTAAAATTTTTTTGATCAATAAAAATTCACATGATTCAAAATCAAAACATATCAAAAATTACACATTGAGAAGCATCCCTCTCACCCTTGCCCCCTGTTTTTTCCCCTGGCACCTTTTCTTTTCTATATACTAGTGTTTCTTTTGGCAAATTCAATGATATATTCTCACTTATTCCCTTCAAAGAAGTTTCCATATCAAAATATGGAGTGCTATTTCATTCTTTGACCACTGTAGAATAGTCTATTGTGTGGATACACTACAGGTTGTTTTTTTTTTTTTAAAGTTCCCTGTTGTTGGACACATTGGTTTAAAAATTTCAAACTATGTTAAATTATGAATTGGGTTATTTCCCAATTTGGGGCTAATACAGTGCTGTACATAATGCTATCATATAAAGTTACCAGTGCTTCAGTAAATAATTTTGTATGTCATATCATTTTGTCTATGTGCCAACAATAATAAATAAACTTATTTATTATTATGGTATTGCTGGAAGCGTAAAAGCAGTTGTCATTTGAGTAGATAATGTTCACAATGAAGTCCCTAGGAGTCTTGCCATTTTGCATTTCCCAGGTAAGCGGTCTTTGGTGGAAGTGAGTGCCAGGGGCTGTACTTGAATCAATAAGCAAATATCTGTAGAAGTCTTAAGAAGGCAATCTTCAAAAGCAGGTCTTCTCAGCAATGCTGGTCTCTCACACATGACCTCAGTTCTGAGTTCAGGGTGTCCTCTCAGTCATCCCAAGTATGATAGGTAGGGAGGGGCATTGTTCCTGAGAAAGTCACCTGCAGTTATTCTGTGTTTCTGAGAGTCTCTCATGGAGTAATTAATAATCAAATGAAGAAGCTGCCCTTGTTATCAACTGCAGACACATTTTTAGGTAAACTTTTAAATGACTTTGAAAGTAAAAAAAATAAAAATAAATGGAAATAAATGACTTTGAAAGTAAATGTAATTAAGCTCTACGAGTTATGGTTGGAAAAGGCGGGATATAATTAATCGTTCAAGGTGCGTTGGCACTGGCTTCTATCTTTCATTCAATCTACCCGGTTTTCACAGCATTCTGGAAGGAGTGGCTCTGTAAGAAATGCTGGGTGACTTCACG